TCGTTTTTGGATAATCTTCAGTAGAATCTTGCTTGCATGTGAAATCAATGATACTGTTCTGTACTTTCCACACTCAGTTGGGTTGCCCTTCTTTGGGATGGGAACAAATATAGACCTCTTCCCATCAGTTGTCCAAGTGGTTGTTCTAATCTTATCATAGATAGATGGGTCCATTTCTGTGTTCTCAATTCTGTTCCATTGGTCTATGTGCCTGTCATTTTACCAGTACCATGCTGTTTAAGGTTTTGAGATCAGGGAGAGCAATGCCTCCCAATTTTTGTTTTTCAGAAGTACTTTGCTTACTCGGTGTTTCTTGCGTCTCCAAATAAACCAGACAGTTTCCCTTTCAATCTCTTTGAATAATGAATTTGGTATCTGGATTGGGATTGCATTGAACATGTAGATTATTTTTGATAGGATTGTAATTTTTACAATATTGAGTCCTCCTATTCATGAACAGGGTACATTTTTGCATTTGTTTAGGTCTTGTATTGTGTCTTGCAGGAAAGGAAATGGTAGTCCAGTGGAAAGAAGCTGTGCTGCAATCCCGAAGTCATCTGGTCCTAGGCCACCAGATGCTCTGCAGGAGAAGGATGGCCAATCTCCTCCCATGCTATTAACTGTGTCAGAGGGTCAGCTACGGGTCAGTTCTGACTCTAAGGTACAAAACCACAACACTGTGTCTTGCAGAAATGTTCTGTAGTTTTCTATGTACAGGTATTTTGTGTCTCTAATTAGGCTAAAGAAGAAGAAAAGACCAAGATGGATGTCAGATGAGACTCTGAGTATTGCATTAGAGTGCCGAGAAGCCAAAGCTAAAGGAAGAAATCAAAGAGCTGAATAGAAAATTTCAAAAGGCAGCTCAGGACAACAAAGCAAGATACTATAATGAAATGTGCAGAGAGCTGGAGTCAGAAAATCAAAAGGGCTGGACTCGCTCAGCGTTTTCTTCAGCTGAAGGAGTTGAAAAACAAATTCAAGCCACGGGTGGGAATACTTAAGGATAGTTTGGGTAGAATGTTGAATGTTGAATGATCTGGGGTGTATAAAAAGAAGACGGAAGGAGTACACAGTCACTGTATTAGAAGGAATTGGCTGACACAGAGGAATTTAATGAAATAACATATGAGCAAGAACCTATGGTGATGGAGGAAGTTCAAGTAGCTATAAAGGAACTGGCAAAAAATACAAGGCTCCAGGAGTTGACTGCATACCAATTGATTTATTTCAACAAATAGATGCTACCCTGCATGTGCTCACTAGGTTGTGCCAGGAAATCTGGAGGACAGCCAGCTGACTGGAAGAGATTGTTATTTGTTCCCATTCCAAAGAAAGGTGAACCAAGAGTATGGAAATTATCGAACAATATCATTGATATCACAAGCAAGCAAGATTCTGCTGAAAATTATCCAAAAACATTTGGAACAACATGTCAACAGAGAACTGCCAGATATGCAGGCTGGATTTAGAAGAGGTTGAAGTACTAGGGATATTATAGCTAATGTAAGATGGATCTTAGCAGAAAGCAAAGAAT